GGCAGAATATTTACTTCAAAACTCACAAGAAAATTAAATTTTGGCATTAAATGATCCATAAGGTGTTGATAACAAACAATCATTGTTATGTTTTAAAATAAACTTCATTTGGTCACAGTTCATGAGAATATCTTGGTTGGCTTATGAACTTTTTCAGGCCATCCCTGTCAACCAAACGACCAACTTAAAAGAACTCTTTCATGATATTAATCCATATAATATCCTATTATTTATTAAACAAATTAAACTGTATTCTAAAATATAACTTCAACAAAGCTACAACATAAAACACACATATCACCAAACATATATATGCAAAAAAGCTGAGTATCATTTACCATGTATTCAATTGTGAAAGTAGAATAACATATATCATATTTTTATTACTTCAAAGCTGCCAAGAAAATTAAATTTCGTCATTAAATGATCCATAAGGTGTTGTTAAACAAACTTTGTTATGTTTTAAAATAAACTTCATTTGGTCACAGTTAATGAGAGTATCTTGGTCGGCTTATGAACTTTTCAGCCCAGCCCTGTCAATCAACCAACCAATATGAAAGAATTCTTTCATGACATTAATCCATAGAATATCCTACAATTTCTTCAAGAAATCAAACTGTATTTCAAAATATAACTTCAACAAAAATCCAACATAAAACACACATATCGACGCCTCTAGTACTTATGTCCACACATGTATTCAATTGCAAAGGCAGAATATTTACTTCAAAACTCCAAAAATTTCAGCATTAAATGACCCATAAGGTGTTGATGTGGCATTAAATCAACAAATCAACTCATCTAAGTACTAACCAAACTTAACTTTGGTGATGGAATGGTATTTTCATCATGATTTTACTGAAATCACACACAAATATACACACAAGGATTGCTTCCAGTTTTGGATTACGTCTAAAAATAATGGTTGCCAGGAGAGAAAGGGTATTCGGCCACAACTACAATGCTATCATTTAATTTTTATAGTGAATGAATAATTAAAAATTTCTTAGTAATTACAGTTTACATATATGGTACATATTACAGACAGTAGATAACAAATGTAAATACAGATTATAATTATTTATTCATTTATTTTTAATTTTACATAATTGATTCATACATTTTAAATTTTTTGCCGTCCAATTTGCACATCAGCAGATCGTTCAAAAGCACAATAGAGCATTGCATGAAGCCCACTATATTAAGATCAATCATCTGTGTTCAGGAGATAACTGTTTGAATCTACCAATAATTGCATCTGCGTCCAGTTCATGTATCAATTCCTTTTTAATTGTTAAGGAATAAATACAATCATTTTTACAGATGATTATCCAGGGTAACGTACATAAGATCCTGACTTAAATGGAAGCAAAAATATCCACTTATTTTAATGTAACAAGTTTGAATTAAATTATATAAAAGATAAAAATACAATGAAAAATATAATCCATTGATAAACAAAGGTTAAAAAAAATTTAAACTTCAACATTGCCAATAACACTATTCCATAAAAACAAATCCAGACCAAAAATAAACAAACACTTTGCAACGTTTTATTCCAATTCTCTTATTTATATGTCCTATACTCGTATTATTTTGCTTTGGTTTCTTTTATGGCATATCAATACTTCAATGGGTTATTTAATGCCGACAAGATTTTTAGAATAGAATCGTATGAAGAGAATATGTATTCTTTGATTCATTTTCTTTTATGGCATATCAACCTCAATGGGTTATTTAATGCCGACAAGATTTTTAGAATAGGTTCGTATGAATAGAATATGTATTCGTTGGTTTGATTCATTTTCTTTTATGGCATATCAACCTCAATGGGTTATTTAATGCCGACAAGATTTTTAGAATAGGTTCGTATGAATAGAATATGTATTCGTTGGTTTGATTCATTTTCTTTTACGGCATATCAACCTCAATGGGTTATTTAATGCCGACAAGATTTTTAGAATAGGTTCGTATGAATAGAATATGTATTCGTTGGTTTGATTCATTTTCTTTTACGGCATATCAACCTCAATGGGTTATTTAATGCCAACAACATTTTTAGGATAAATTTGTATGAATAGAATATGTATTCTTTGGTTTAGATTGGTGTGGTTTATTTTGTTTTACTGCATATCAACCTCAATGGATTATTTAATGACGACAACATTTTTAGGATAGATTTGTATGAATAGAATATGTATTCTTTGGTTTAGATTGGTTTGGTTTATTTTGTTTTATGGCAATGGGTTATTTAATGCAGATAATTTCTTTTTCCTGGTAATATTTTGTTTTGTCAAAAATCTATTTCTGGTAATATTTTTTTCCTCAAAAATGTATAGCTAGTAATATTATTTTAAAAAATGTATTGCTGGTAATATTTTTTTTCAAAAATATATTGCTGGTAATAGTTTTTTTTTTCCTTGAAAAATTTATTTGTGGTAATAATTTTTTTACAAAGTATTTCTGGTATTAAAACCTATTTTTAAACTTTCATAAATTAACTATGTGCCCATAGCTAGAACCCTAACAGGTGCTACCACCCCAGGTCAGGGTGGACATGGGAACACCAGCAATTAAGAGGTGGTTCCATGCTCCTCAAAAACTCCTGAGCAGAGGCCTTGCTGTTGGACGTAGTTTATCGTCTTACCCAGGATGCAGATGTATTTTATCATCATACCCAGAATGGACTCGTATTATTATCCTCATCTTTACTGTTATTATTATTATCACAACAATTCAGCAGCTGTGCCCACCAGTTTTCATCAGGTGCTTCTCCACCTGGTTAGTGTACTAGGAATTTTGGAAGCCATTATTTAATCTATGTGGGTAAATTGTTCTCATTCAACTGTCCATGTCTAGGGATTTTTATTTAATTCTGCTCACTGATTGCACAATGACATTGTTCTTGCTCCTCTGACCATGTCTAGGGATATCTTGTCTTATTTCTATTTAGTACTGCTCAGTTATTGTCCGTTCTGTTTCACCAAGTCAAACTGTAGACTACTCTTTCTAAGGACTGAACTCAGGTACTGCCACAAGCCAAGACTTTAATCAATTAGGCAATGAACCCATGGTGAGTGCAGACTCAGTGTATTGATTGACTGATTGTTTTTTTATGGTTTATTCACCTTTTACAGGTTATTTAAAGTGAGAAAATATTTTTAGACTATAATAATTTTTTTTTATTTACATCATTCGGACTACTGTCCTCATCTTTGTCACCATATTTATCACAACGTTTCAGCCGTTGTACGCTCCAGCCTTCTACAGGTGGTTGGAATGTCAAACTGAACCCTTTATTTCACTCACTGGGGTAGACTGTTCTAGTTCCACGTACCATGTTTAATGGATGTCAGTTATCAGTTATCTCCTGCTAATTCCCCTCTGAAAGTTCTCCACTGCCTTAACCGGGTATTGAACTCACACTCTGTGGGTCCTGTCACTGGATCTAACCAACGCCTTTATCCATTGTGCCATGTGTCCTTGAAGAAGGCCGGAGCATACAATGGCCGAAATGTTGTGATAAATATGGCGACAAAGATGAGGACAATAGTCCGAATAATGTAAATAATGTACATAATACCTCATCTCAGAAATATAGACAGACTCTGAATAATTTTTTGGGAGATAATATTTTTCTGATACAAGCCCTACTATTTAACTCATAGCTGGGTGGAAGAACAGTTTCCCAAGGGTATTTGCATATAAGTGAATATAACGAACCTGACTGGAATTGGAACTCGGCTCTCCAAATACTCATTCTGAGCCATTATCCATTACAACACCCACACACTTACAGCACCTGGTATTCCCAAGCAGTTACTCATCTAGGCATTAACCTGGCTTGATGTTGCTTAACTTTGGTCATTTGACAAGAACAAGGTGTTTCAGCATGATATGACCCTAAACCCTAGACTCAGTGGAAACAGGGTGAGAACCAAAAAGTATTAAATAATAACTAAATGAGATATCCCTAGACATTGAATGAGAACAATCTACCTTCATAGATTGAATAAAGGTTTTAGTTTGAAATTCCCAGAAGGTTACCTGAATATTTTTTTTTTTTTAGTGTTTCGTTTTTTATGACTTATCAACCCTTTGTAAATTATTTAAAGCTAGCAAATATTTTTACACTGTAAGAATTTTTCTTTTGGAGATGATAATGGTTTAGTGATATATTTGACTAATTAACCCATAGCAGGGGGAGAACAGGTAGATTCATAGCTAACCAGAATTTGATAAACAAACAAGAAATAATGTGCATATAAAGTGGGGAATCAATTCTGCATTGCAATCAATGTATAAATTGATCCCTCACATTGTGGTCATAGTCATTTCTATACATTTATATTCCAGCAAATGTAAATAAATCTAAAAACATGCCTGTGTAGCTAATCAGTATTTCTTCGATTGATTGATTCGTTTTCTACGGTTTATCAACAAAGAAATTATAATGTGGATATAAAGTGGGTGATCAATTCTATATTACAATCATTACATAAACTGGTCCCTCACTTTGTGACCACGGTAGTTTCTATACATTTATATTCCAGAGAATGTAAATAAATCTAAAAGACATACTTGCCTAGCTAATCAGTCTTTCATTGATTGATTGATTTGTTTTCTAGTTTATCAACCCTTTGCAAGTTATCTAATACCAAAAATTATAATGTGGGTATAAAGTCGGGGATCAATTCTATATTATTGTTAATATATAAACTGGTCTCTCATTTCATGATCACGGTATTTTCTATACATCAGTATTTCATTGATTGATTCATTCCTTTTCAACTGTTTATAAAACCTTTGCAGGTTATTTAAAGCTAGCAAATATAGTAAGAATTTTTTTTGAGATAATAATGGTTTAGCAATGGAAGACTTACTAATTAATCCATAGCAGGTGGGATTCATACCTTTCCCTTTGTGCATAAGTGAATATAACAAACACAATGGGAACTGGAACTCAGCTCTCTAATTAACAATTCCGAGTTATTATCCTTCTATTACCAAGTAGTCACCCATCTAGGTACTAACCAGGCTCAATGTTGCTTAACTTTAGTGATCGTACAGGAACAAGTGTTTCAACATAATGTGGCCATAAGATTGGAAAGCAACTGATGGAAATCAGAAAGCGCCATGTCCAAAATATGATAATAACAACAAAGATAAGGACAGTAGTTCAAGTGTATATCATATAGCTGGCCACTCATATTCGAGGGTACCCATCTACTAGTGAGGCTAGCCAATCCCTATTGCAGACACTTTCTTAACACCCATAGAGCCCACCTGTGGTTTATACTGCAACTATGCTGAGCAGATATTAGTTACAGTTTCTTGGAAAGAGTGTCCTATCTAGCATGATCAACAATTTGAACAATGTCAGCATGCTCAAGTTGTCAGCTATGATGATTTGTGACTTCAAGCTAACACAGTGTTCCACCAACCCAATTTCACTAACAAGGCTTGGGTCAAGCCGTGGTATGGTTTTCAGGCACTTTCCAAAGGTGCCACATGCTGGAATTGACCCCCAGCAGTCTGATAACGTCAGGATGTCTCCTTCCTGACAAATTGACCATAGTTAGATAAATAAAACATAGTACATAATGGTTATACCCCTCAAGAAGAGCAACATGTCATATCTCCATGCAAAGTGCAATAAACAATCATATAACACAAATCTATAGTGCTTCTTCAAGTTCCTATCAGCTGCCCATTTAAAATGAAGTAGTTTTCTGCTGTCAAAAAAAATGATTACAAATCCTGGCAACCCTTTACCATAAAAGAAAGTAACCCACGACTGACAAACTTTCTTTTGTTTTGGTGCACTGGTGTTAAAATACCTTGAAAATCTAAATCCATATATGCTACAGGACACTAAATTCTATTTAGTACTCATAACATGCAAAAACACATTTAATTCAAACTTTAAACTGATAACAAATCAAACATCACACTTCATTTGACAGCTGTACTTTGAAGTGCATTACCCTCTGCCTGCTTGTGTTCAGATCCACTCTTGGGTCTCTGTATATGTTCAGAAAGAATTCAAGGATATACTTCTACTTCATGTGCCTTTTTCATTCAGATGCCATTTTGTGAAACTGGTAACTTTTAAAAGGCATGTGGTTCTATACTACAGGCCTACTCATGGTAAAACTAAGGGCCAGAACTGGGGGCCTATTTCAACAGCTCTTTGTTTCACTTTGTTGCTATTCTTTCTTTGTTGTGTCTTGTTTGAATTTCTTTTTTGTTGCTGTTTTATTTTTGTTTCTTCTTCGTTATTATTTTTTCTTTGTGTTTTTTTTTTCTTTGTTGTTTCTCTACCATAATTTCTTTACTTATTCTTTCTTTGTTGTTATTTATTCCTTGTTGTTGCTTCTCCTTATATTTGTTTATATATATTGTTGTATATATTTATGTATTAGTGTATATATTTATATATAATTTTAAAATAATCGTTTTTTTAAAGCCTTAATAGCATTGAATTTTATTTACAAAAAAATAAAGCATATATTATCTTGTATAGCAATTCTTAATGCTAATAATAATGATAATATTAACGGTTTCATAAGGAAATATTTGGTATTGACTGCGTAACTAGTTTAACTCAAGTTATGCTTTTCTGAAATCCCTGGCCATGAGGATGGAATCAAAATGAAGTATCTGTTCTCCTCATCTCTAATGGTAATATTAGCCGTTTCCTTATAATGAAACATTCGGCATTCATTGACTGAGCAGCCAGTGCTACTCTTTACGCTTTTCTTCACTCCCTGGCCATCGGGCTGGGATCAAAGTGTAGTATCTGTTCTCCTCATCTCTAATGGTAATATTAGCCGTTTCCTTATAATGAAACATTCGGCATTCATTGACTGAGCAGCCAGTGCTACTCTTTACGCTTTTCTTCACTCCCTGGCCATCGGGCTGGGATCAAAGTGTAGTATCTGTTCTCCTCATCTCTAATGGTAATATTAGCCGTTTCCTTATAATGAAAACATTCGCATTCATTGACTGAGCAGCCAGTGCTACTCTTTACGCTTTTCTTCACTCCTGGCCATCGGGCTGGGATCAAAGTGTAGTATCTGTTCTCCTCATCTCTAATGGTAATATTAGCCGTTTCCTTATAATGAAACATTCGGCATTCATTGACCGAGCAGCTTTTCTTCACTCCCTGACCATCGGGATGGGATCAAAGTGTAGTATCTGTTCTCCTCATCTCTAATGGTAATGATAATATTAGCCGTTTCCTTATAATGAAACATTCGGCATTCATTGACCGAGCAGCCAGTGCTACTCGTTACGCTTTTCTTCACTCCCTGGCCATCGGGCAGGGATCAAAGTGTAGTATCTGTTCTCCTCATCTCTAATGGTAATGGTAATATTAGCCATTTCCTTATAATGAAACATTCGGCATTCATTGACCGAGCAGCCAGTGCTACTCTTTACGCTTTTCTTCACTCCCTGGCCATCGGGATGGGATCAAATTGTAGTATCTGTTCTCCTCATCTCTAATGGTAATATTAGCCGTTTCCTTATAATGAAACATTCAGCATTCATTTACCGAGCTGCCAGTGCTACTCTTTACGCTTTTCTTCACTCCCTGGCCATCGGGCTGGGATTAAAGTGTAGTATCTGTTCTCCTCATCTCTAATGGTAATATTAGCCGTTTCCTTATAATGAAACATTCGGCATTCATTGACCGAGCAGCCAGTGCTACTCTTTACGCTTTTCTTCACTCCCTGGCCATCGGGATGAGATCAAAGTGTAGTATCTGTTCTCATATCTAACGGTAATATTAACCACTTCCCCTAATATGGAAATTTTTGGCATTTGTTGTCTGAGAAGCCAGTGCTACTTTTGGTTGAAATTTATAAATTCTTTCTATTATAACAATTTTTCAGTAAAATAGATTTCTCAAGTTCACTTTTATCACTCTTTCCAACATTGGTGGGGGTTTCTTTCCTAATTTTTTGTTTGAAGTGGTGTGGACAATCAACATCATGATTATGCCATTATTTGTGCTATCCATTTTGTGCTGTTGAGGTGATGTGGTTTCTGTTATCTGGTAAATTTCTTTGTGATTCTGTAGTTCCAGTCCACAAGGTTTGAAGAAGGATAGTCCTCACTAAGACCTACTGGCTTCATTCACTCAAGGCCATTTTTAACTATCAAAATTCCTCAAGAGACATTGTTTCTTTTATTTGGTACAGTTCTTTGTGATTCCATAGTGCCAGTCTACAAGGTTTAAAGAAGGATGGTATTTGCTAAGACTTATATGCCTGGAGACATACATTTTTACATTTTTAATCATTGATCTGAATGTTCTAACCACTCCCAATAGTATATATATATATATATATATATATATATATATATATATATATATACACATACACATACAGAGAGAGAGAGAGAGAGAGAGAGAGAGAGAGAGAGAGAGAGAGAGAGATATAAACAAATGATTCAATAGATTTATTTATTCAACTTACATTATTTTTAAATTAAGAGTAATAACTTTCAGATCAATTCAGAGTTTTGTAATGTTGCATTCATTCATCAGGACTCTTGGTAAGAATGTCGATATGAGTGATAGAAAAATTATAAAACTCTGAGTTGCCCTTCAATAAGTATAAAGATATATCAGTTGATCCATACTGTCGAAATATTGTTAAAAACTGTCTTTTCTTTCTTAAATTGCACTCTTCTCAGATATTATTATTATTAGTAGTAGTAGTAGTAATAGCAGTAGCAGTAGTAGTACTAGCATTTGTCTATTGTGCAGCTTATCAGATGTTATTGGGTGGTTTTACACTTATTAGATATCAATCTACATTACCCAGCATTAGGTGCCCAATATTTTTCAGATTTTTATTCAATATATAGTGATGATATACTAAAATTATTTCTGACTAAATTGTTTTATTAACTCGATTTACATCTTGAATAATTATCATTTAATATAATTATCCTTTAGATTTGTTTTCATTCAAACAATTTACAATTGAACTAAATGTTTTTTGAATAAGTGTTTTCGAAAAATATTCCATTATAGCAAATTATATAACGACTATAATTCCTTATCTCAAAAAACTCTGTTAAAAATTAGGTTTGTTTGTTTTATCTAGTTTTTATTGTAATTATTGTTATGAATAATCAAGAGTGGTCTCCCCTTGTTTCATTACTCTCCTCTTTGAGAGAGCTATTTCTGTTTACTGGGACTATAAAAGGACACTATATGCAAACATTGTATTCTCTGTTTAATAAAGCTTTCTTAAAGTCTACACCTGCGTACTTTTGTCATTACAATTATATCTCTTTTTACACAGCTTATCGGATTTTGTTACTTATTGGATATCAATCTACATTCAACATCATTAGGTGTCCAATGTCTTTCTGATTGTTATTCAATATATAGTGATAATATACTAACATTTTTAGTAGTAGTATTAGCATTGGTCTATTGCACAGTTTGTCGGATGTTATTAGACAGTCTTGCACTAATTGGATATCAATTTACATTACTCAGCATTAGGTGTCCAATACTTTTCTGATTGCTATTTGATATATAGTGATGATATACAAAAATTATTTCTGACTGAATTGTTTTATTAACTTGATCTATATTTTGAATAATTATCATTTAGCATTTATGTCCTTTCAATTTATTTTCATTCAAACAATTTACAATTCAAATAAGTTTTTTGAATAACTGCTTTTGAACAATTAATATCAAACAATGTTCACATAATCAAAAACAAAGTTTGACGCCATGCATGACATCCATGTTAAAGGTTTCAATATGATGAAACTATCTAAGAACATGACCAGAGATTTTAGCTTCTAAAAAGAACATATATGGCATTATGAAGAAAAATATACAGAAAAAACAAACAAAAATCTTAATATGCAATTATGCTGTATTAATGCTAATATAAAGTCAATGTCGGACATTTCGGTCTATTTTAGACCATCATCAGGACATATTCATAAAACTTAATTAACATTAGAACATATACAAATTCAACATGAAAAAGACGATGGACATAAGAGCACAACTAATCCAAACAGATAACTGAAATTTTTTATAATAGAAATATATAT